CATAAGCATATCTCTTTCCTCCAAGTCTTTCAATCTGCATAGGTCCCATCAAGTTCATATGAAGTAGCTCCAGGATTTTTGAAGTGGTCATATGTTGAAGCTTATTATGTGATATCCTTGTCTTCTTTCCAATTTGTCATTCGCCACAAACTCTTCCTTCATCAATTTTTAGATGAGGAATACCTCTGAAAACTTCCTTTAATAGGACTTCCTTCATTCCCTTCAAATGTAAGTGGAAACGTTTTTGATGCCACATCTCCACCTCATCTTCTTTTGACATCAAGCAGGAGGAGGAACACTTTATTTCAAGAGGAGTTTACAAGTAACAATTATCCTTAGATCTGGCACCCTTCATGATAATTTCCTCTTTATCATTTCTTACCAGGAACTCAGATTTAGAAAAGCTAACCTTGAGACCCTGGTTACACAGTTGACAAATACTTATTAGATTAGCAGTCAACCCTTTGACAAACAACACCTTATCTAGGCTAGGTTGCCCAATATAGTCTAAGTTCCCAACACCTTTTATTTCACCTTTTGACCCATCTCCAAAGGTAACATAGCTAGTGGAATATGGTTTAATATCAACCAAAAACTTATTGACATCAGTCATGTGTCTAGAACAACCATTATTAAAATACCAGTCTTCCCTAGCAGAGGCTCTTAAAGAGGTATGAGCTATGAGAGCAATAGTTTCATTCTTAGGAATCCACTTCTTCTTTGCTTTAGCAGCATTCTCTCTCCTCCTGGACCTATTCCCTGATTTGGGTTAACCATGCAACTTATAGCAGTAAGGCTTTATGTGGTCATACTTACCATAATGATGACATTTCCAACCCTGCTTCTTTCTTCCTGAGGAGTTCTTCTGAGGTCTTTGTTGATGTTGGGACATCTTACTTGACATTGTTCAATACTATTTTCTTTTGTGTTTAGTAGAATTCACAACAGGCCTTTTCCCTTTATTCTCAGCTTGATCATTATAACCAAGTCCCTTAAAATTTCCAGCATTCCTTCCTGATTGCAGAATTTCATCCAACACGTCTGAACTGTTATTGAGCATTCTAATATACTTAGTTATATTGTAAAGTTTTGAATTGATCAATACAACTTCATCCTCCAGATCAGAAATGGTAGTCAAGTGCTTTAATCTTTCGTCACAGAGTTGAGCAATAAGATTCTGTTAATTCTTCCTTAATTGACAAACTTCTGCACTTCTTATGCATAACTCCTTATAAGAGGCATCTAGTTCATCAGAGGTGAGTACTTCAACATCTGATTCTTTGTCAGAATCATATATTCCAGTAAGTGCAAAAACATGTTTACCCGTTTCTCCTTTGCTTGAGGATTCATCTTTAGACCAAGATGTAGATAAGTCTTTCTTCTCCTTCTTGAGAAAGGTAGTACACTCAGCTCTTGTGTGTCCAAACCCTTCGTACTCACAAAATTGGAATCCCTTACCTTTGTTAGATTTCTTATCATTATTGATTCTTCTTCTAAAATCCTTCCTTTTGTTGATGTTGGATGACTGAGTCTTAACAATAGATCTTGACTTCTCGTCTAGTTTCTTCAACAGTTGGCTACACTGATTTTCAAGAAGCACCACAACCTTGGAAAATACCTCATTGTAATTAGGTTCACATTCATCTTAATTAGACATAAAGGTTATGCTTTTCTTCTTCTCATATTTCTCACTAATTTCCAGTTCAATAGTCTGAAGTAATCCCATGAGCTTATCCATCTTCATGGTGTTTACGTCTTGGGCTTCTTCAATAGCAGTCACCTTCATATCATATTTCTTTGGAAAAGATCTTAGAATTTTTTTAACCAACTTGGCTTTTGGAATCTTTTCTCCAATATCACTTGAAGTATTGGCTATATCAACAATGTTCATATGAAAGTATTGAATATTTTCATCATCTCTCATCTTTAAGTTCTCAAACTTGGTTGTGAGAAGTTGAAGTCTAGATGATTTCACCCTAGAAGTTCCTTCATACTCAGTCTTCAAAATCTTCTAAGCCTCCTTGGCAATAATACAATTCTTTATCAACCTGAAAATATTCTTGTCCACACCATTGAATAAGGCAATCAATGCTTTGGAATTACCTTGAGCAAGCTTGTCATCTTCATCATCCCAATATTCCTCAGGCCTTATCATATCAATAATATTTCCTTCCTGATGTTTAACCTTTGGTAGATCCCATCCTTTGACCATATATTTCCAAGCTTTACCATCCATAGACTTGATAAAGGACATCATGCGCACTTTCCAATATTCATAATTGGATCCATCAGGAATTGGCGGTCTATTCAACATTCCTCCTTTTTTGTCTATTGTACCAGAAAGTAACTTTCCTGAATCTCACCCAGATACAGAGCATGATGTTTACTCTGATACCCATTGAAATTCTGGTATACTGATCTCAGATGTCCCAAGAGATGTCGAGACACTCGATATCTGCTAAGAACAATAACAAGAAGAAGAACAATAAAACAACTTACAGAAAGTAAACGAACACACAATAATTGTTAACCCAGTTCGGCGTACAATAACACCTATGTATGGGGGCTACTAAGCCAGGAATGAAATCCACTAGATAGTATTAATTCTAAACTAAACAACCTTTGATTTACAACTTATCACTTAATCACTACCTGTGCTCAATTTCTACCTAAGACTCTTCCTATGTATGAGACTCTTCTCAATTCCCTTCCAATCACAACAGTGACAGAAATTACAACTCAATGCAAATAGCCCAGCTCAATTATCAACACGACACAAGAGAGGCTCACAAAATACAAACCCTAGTACACACTAAGAAAAAAAGGTATATTCCACCATTTTCTTAGGTTAAATTCATCCTATTTATAACCATAAATTAGATTGAATTTGGGCTTCAAAAATGCAGTAATTCTGTTACACAGAATCTGCAACTGATTCTCCAAAATAATAGTTTCTTCAATCCAAAGTTTCCTAAAGTGTCTCCAGACTTATAAAACGGCATCTTCAGATTCCTACAGAATCTCTAATTCCTCAATCTTGAACACCACCTAGAATAAACAAATATTCCCAGAACAATCTCAAATCTGGAAGTAAAATAACATAATCAAAAACTGAAAAGTAACAGACAAAGATGTTGAATTATCATGATAGGACATCTCGTCTAACATCTTGATGTTCAGTTAGTTCTTCATGTTAGGATATCTTGTCCAACATCTAGTTGTTAAGTTAGTTTTACTAAAATTGATGCCAACCTCAAAAGCTTGGACTCATCAACTTTGTTGTCATCAAAACCTTTTAAGGGAATGAACAAATATTGTTCCAACATGCTATCATAGAGAACTTTGTATGAAGGGATAATAATGTCGAATACCCTTAGAAGTTGTTTTAGCCATAAAAATCATATGTATTTATTGAGTTTACATATCATGTTCTCCTTCTCACTTGGATAACCAAGTAGCAGATCCATATTGTTTTCCTCAAATAGATTCCAATTTAAAAAAAGTTTAGTTGAGCTAGTTTCCATTTGTATGCAGCTACTAGACTGAGTATGACTCTTATAGAGGTGAGTTTTGCTTCCGGTGAAAAGTGTTTATGAAGTCAATATTAGGTTGTTAAGTGTACATCTTAGCAACAGTCGAGCATTATACTTATCCAAAGAATCATTAGCATTAAACTTTGTTTTATAGACCCATCTAAATCCAATAGATTTCTTTCTATGAGGTAGAGGTTGGATTGTCCTAGTGTTATTTTCCTTTTTGAAAGTATTAGATATTGCTTGAACAACACATGCCATTAGTGTTTCAGTTTAGTAAAGTTAGATGTGACTTCTCTTTGTTTCTGATCTTGAGTAACCATGGACAAAACCACATTGATTGAAGGTAAAGGATCCATCAGTAAAATTTTCCCACAAACTTGATTGAAAGATTCAATGAAGCCCATCAAAAAGGTAAAAACGTGTTCATTTTAAAAGATGATTGATAATATGTTAAACTCCACCATAATGACGAGTAATAACATGTTGATATTCCCCTAATTCCTCCCACAAAGACTTGAATTGAGTATAATAGGCACTAATTGTGGAGGTACCATATGTGCAACTGAGAAGATTCTATTTTTGTTGAAAGGAACGAGGGTCATTCTTCTTCTGAAACCGATCTTGAAGTTCTTTCTAGATTTCTACAGCATTTTCAGCATATATGACACTAGCACAAATTTCCTTCGAAACTGAATTGAGCATCCATGAAGAAATTGTGTTATTGTTGCACATATAAGAAAGATATTGAGGTGAGTTTTCTTCTTGTTTTGGAATTGTGTCATCCACAAAACTAGTCTTGTTCTTGCCATCAAGAGTCATTATCATTGCGCGTCGCCAACAGTTGAAGTTATCACCGATCAATGGTTAGAAACCAAAACAATACCAGGATGATCGTATGAATGAAGATAGTAAGGATCATCATGGTTTGCCAAAAAAGCAATGAACACATGATGTGAAGATGGATAAGATGAAGAAGAATGGAATCACGATGTTGAGATGAAGAAAACAAAAGTGAAAACTTAAAAAATATCCTTTGATACCATATTTTTGTTAAGAGATTTCATGATGGAAAATGGAATCGATGTTGACATTTAAAGTGATTCGATTTACACTATGAGAAGTTTCCACATATATATGTGTACAAGTTCCAATATGAAAGTTAGTTATAAGTCATAACTAACTCTTAGTTAGGTAGTTACATCAGAAAACTAACAAATACCTAATTTGAAGTTAAGTAACTAACTTCTAACTAACTTGAGTAAAAGCTCTTAATAAAAGATAAATAAAGTTAGACTAAAGATTGTTTCAATTAGAATTTTCATTTGGATTCTCTTAAATGATTTGTTCTTAACTGATTTTGATTAATCACTTAAAGCGAATCACTTGATTTTATTATAATTGCCCCCATGTAATTGAAGATGCATGTAGAAAATTACTTTATTCAATGTAATTTTATTGTTACAGTCTTTCCTTGCTGGTTTGGCAGCATCTGGTGTATTAACATCTGGTTTAAGGTTAATCACAAAAGCAACATTTAACAATTCTAAGGGAGGTCTTAGAAAAGGAGCTAGTAAGTTCAACTTTTTATATCCATTGTTATATAAATTTTGTTAATGATGTTTCATATTAACTTTTTTCTATTGAAATATACTTACTATGACACTTTCCCTCATTCATTGGTCTATATATATTATCATTGCAGTTCTATTCTTTGCCATATCAACATTCTTTGAACTTCTGTGTGTTCTTCTCTATGCATTTGTTTTTCCAAAAATACCAATTGTGAAGTATTACCGTACAAAAGCAGCATCAGAAGGATGCAAAACTGTTTTACCAGATCTTGCAGCAAGTGACATCCAAACAATACCCAAAGAAGTATTATTTCTTTCTTCTGTTTTAATTAGTTTCTCTTTCAAACATGTCTCAAACTTTTATGTTATCTATAGTTCACCTTTATGTGACAAGAATTTCCATATTCTTTTAGGATGAAGATCATACAAAAACACAAGAGAGGAAAGGAAACAAGCAATTGTTAATTGAAAATATTGATTATTTACTTGACATGTTTCTAATATATGCATTGACACTATCTATTTTCCCTGGATTTCTTTTTGAAGATACTGGAGCACATAGTTTGGGATCTTGGTATGTTCACCACTTAGTGAATTTTAAATATTTCGTGATTTTACCATTTTATACTTACTTTCTTAGTTTTTTCAAATCAAAGATATAAATGTTTCATTTCAATGGATCATGACTATAAGTCCACTAATTCAAAATAATGATGATGTGTATATGTAATTATATTCACCAATGAAACACTTATTGGTCCAATTTTATAGGTATGCACTTGTGTTAGTTGCAATGTATAACGTGGGGGATCTAATAGGAAGATACATTCCACTCTTAGAATTCTTGAAATTGGAGTCACGAAAGTTGATCACAGTAGCAATTCTATGTCGATTTTTACTTGTTCCGGCGTTTTATTTCACTGCAAAGTATGGTGAACAAGGATGGATGATAATGTTGACCTCATTCTTGGGGTTATCCAATGGTTACCTCACTGTCTGTATTATGACATCTGCACCGAAAGGTTACAAGGTGAGAGTATATCAAGTTTTTATTTAAGTTAAGGCTAGTAAAAAATTCATATTTTGATCTATCGGGTTTTTGTAGGGTCCAGAACAAAATGCATTGGGGAATTTGTTGGTGTTGTTTCTATTATGTGGTATTTTTGCAGGGGTGACATTAGATTGGTTGTGGTTGATAGGTAAAGGTTGGTAAGGTCTCAGTTAACACAAAAAAGGAATGATTATGATTGACACAATCTTTGTAAGGAAAAGAAAAAAAAAATAATTTATCTTTTTAAAGATATGTTTAAATGACACGCGATAATTATTCGTATGTGTCATTAACATAGATAGTAGTGGTGCATCTGCAATTTTTTAACAATTAAAGGTAGGGTTTACATTTAAAATAAGAGATGTGTTTGTTGCTCAATGATAAATTTATAAGTGGGTAATCCTTTATTTTAGTTTATAAAAATATAATATGTGGTCATATTGGTCCCGGTTCATGTAAAAACTTAAATAAATAATTTGTTATTCATTTTGTTAGTGACTTTTATTCATTTCGTTTGTTACAAAATGTTACCTGCATCCAAATAATACTCGTAGAAGTACTAGAAGTTGAATATATATAACAAAGAGACATGAATCTGCTTTAGTGTCCAATTTACCAAGGTTATTCATCATGTTATTAAGGACAAAACATTTGCAACCGAAGAATTAATATAGATCATAAATATTCTAATTCCTTTCTTACTAATATTTCATAGGGTGTAATCTTTATAATTGACCTTATCAAGGCTTTATTTATTACTTAGCGTACAATGCTTACTGCTTCAATTTAGAAATATTAAGAAAGGTTGGTTCTGTTGAATATCTCTTCAAAAGATCTAATTTCATGTCCTATTATCCCATTTATCGTGGAGTTTGTTGATAAGAAAAAGTATGATATATATTACTCACAAAACAAAAATGTTTGAAGTCTATATTTTTAAATTCACCTCAGTGATTACTTCGGATATATACAGTGTTTAAACCTTTTTTTGGATAACCATAAATAATTGTTGAAAGACAATAAACCTGTCCTATTTATGAAAGAAAAGTAGTGTTTATGTATTGCAAAAACAGGCATCTCGTAGAACAATTGCATGATAATTACCACAAATGTTCTAAAAGCGTTTTTTTTAGAAACAACATTATTATTTAATGAAAATAAAAAGTTTATATATATATATATATATATATATATATATATATATATATATATATATATATATATATATATATATATATATATATATATATATATATATATATATATATATATATATATATATATATATATATATATATATATATATATATATATATATATATATATATATATATATATATATATATATATATATATATATAGAGAGAGAGAGAGAGAGAGAGAGAGAGAGAGAGAGAGAGAGAGAGAGAGAGAGAGAGAGATAGAGAGCATATCAAATGAGAGAGATTTTAAATGAGAGGTGAGAGGAACAAACAACAACCATTAGATCAAATTAATAAGAGAGATGAAATGTAAATTAATAAGAGACGAGAAATTAATAGTCACATTAATGAATAAGTTTAATCATGATCTAATGGTTGTTGTTTGTTCCTCTCACCTCTCATTTAAAATCTCTCTCACTTGATATGCCCTATATATATATATATATATATATATATATATATATATATATATATATATATATATATATATATATATATATATATATATATATATATATATATATATATATATATATATATATATATATATATATATAAGGAACTAAGACATATCCATTGAAAACTGCTACCCCACTCTTTTTAAAAAAATTTGTTTGTTAAAATATGACCTATTGTAACTTATGTGTTAATGAAAATAATATATATATATATATATATATATATATATATATATATATATATATATATATATATATATATATATATATATATATATATATATATATATATATATATATATATATATATATATATATATATATATATATATATATATATATATATATATATATATATATATATATATATATATATATATATATATATATATATATATATATATATATATATATATATATATATATATATATATATATATATATATATATATATATATATATATATATATATATATATATATATATATATATATATATATATATATATATATATATATATATATATATGGTGTTAATATTGTGTTGTATGTGTATGTTTAAATATCATTATATTATTTATAATTATGTATGTTAAAAACACCTCTTCACCCTAAATAATTGATAATAGTTGATTATCAAAATCAGTTGAAATTCCACATTTTATGGCTGGTTTTTTTGTTTTCTAAGAAACTGAAGGCCTTGAAAAAATCTCTCAAGTTTTGAAACATCAACATTCTAGATAATGTCCACTTTTTGGTGAAGTAGACTAAAACTTCTTTGAACCATATCCATATTGAGATCCAAAATGACCTTCACTCCGAGGTCTTTAAACGCAAAGAGAGAGACTACTTTATCCTAACTCTTAAAATCCAAGGCAGGCTCATTTTTAATCAAAAGGTCCTTGGAGAGCATGTTACTAACTATTTTAAGAATCTTTTTTCTAACAATAAATATACTTTTTCAAGATTCTAAAGTTATTAGCTCCTACATCCCTAACTTAATTACTGAGGAGATGAACATCATGCTTACTAGAACTCCTTACTTATTGGAAGTCAATAATACCCCGCCCTTAACAGTTTATGTGCAAGGGTTTTTCCGCCAATCTGGCTGTTGCAGGCGCTTATGTGTACCTCCGCCCATGCTCGCACAAACATAGTAGCATGGGAGAATCCCTCCATATTTTGTGTAGTTCCCAGAGAGCAGGGTGTATCTGGCAGCCTATTTCTGATTCCTACTTGCTTCTCCCTTGTTTAATGGAACTTCTCAAGTTTGTAGATAACACAATATGGGCGACATCCAACTAGATTTTAGGATAACTTCCCTGGAGTACACCTCTTCCAACTTAATGTTGAGGGAGGCGAGTGTACCCTAGATAATTGTTTTGTTGAATCCTTCCATCTTCGATGTGGCTAGCTTGGATATAAGGTTTACTCTAAAAATGTGCTTGCCTAGGACATGCTCTATACCAAAGGGGGAGAAGCGAGAGGAAATATTTCGTACCTTTTACATATATCTTATCAATTAAGGTTCTTTGGCTTGGTATAGCCCAAATATTTGGTTGGTAACTAGCTGGGAGTCACTTTTGGCCTTCAATTCGGAGGCTCCTATCTCTAAGGTGTGGATCATTTTGGTGATGATAGCCTCGTACTTTGCCTAGTTGTTGCTGGCGGTGAACTTAAATTCAAGGCTTGCTCGATGAGTATATCGACAAGTCCTTATAAGATCATCTCAACATCGCTCCCTTTTATGTTGGAGGCTCCATCTACGGAACATGCCCATTCTAAAAGTGTCCCTTCCACTACGAGCAAGGTGAACTCTGCCATAAAATCTGCTAGCAATTGGATTTTGTATTCCACGAATTCCACCACCTAGGATACCATCCATCCTTCGAGATCGGGCTTCTTTAAGACTTGCCAAAAGGGATAATTGGATTTTACCAGGATTTTGTGACCCGAAAAGTATGGTCTCAATTTCCTCTTTACAATGAAGATGGCTGGCATCAGTTTCTCAATCTTTTGATAGTGGTCCTTAGTGCCTCAAAACACATTTCTTATGAAATACATAGGTTTCTCTACCCTATCTATTTCCTAGACTAGGATTAAGCTCATTGCCTAATATAAGACTAAGAGGTATAGGAGAAATGACAAACCATCTCTTGATTGATGTCTAGATGAGAGGCAACATGAGGAAGTTCTTGACCTTGGTAAAAGCCTCATCGAACTCTAGGGTCCACTTAAACCTTCCCTTCTTCTTTAAGGCAGCGAAGAAGAGGAAGGCATTGTTGCTTGCACGTGAAAGGAATCGAGATAGGGTGGAAAGGCGAACATGAGGAAGTTCTTGACCTTGGTAAAAGCCTCATCGAACTATAGGGTCCACTTAAACCTCCCCTTCTCCTTTTCGTTAGTGAGGCTCCCCATTATAATGACTGCTTTCCACTTATCTAGGTTATCCTGAATGCCTATTGGTGTAAATGTAAAGCCTAAAAATTCCCTCTTATGAACTCCAAAAGAAAAATTTGTGGGAGTTATACGTATATCATACTTCCCGGTTGACTGTAGGACATCTTTCAGGTCTTCTGCATGGTTATGGCCTACAATGGTCTTAACTTTCATGTCATCAACATAAACTTCTAGGTTTCATTCTATCTGGTGGGTGAAGACAACATCCATGAGTCGCTGGTATGTGGCATCAGCGTTCTTAACGCCGAAGGGCATAACATATTAGTAGTAGTTGCCATGTTTCAAAATTTTATAACGATGGTTTTTATCAGCCATAGTGAAAAAAATACCTATATAAGTGAAAGTTCTCTCATTTCACCATAAAACAGCGGTCTATCTCATAAAACAAAAATCTAACATCTCTCTCAAGACTTATCCTAATCTCCATTGATGTTTACATACCATATATTCATAAAACTCCAACATATTTTCTCCAAATTGTATGGATCAATGAAAGGTGTTACACAACATGCAAGATAGAAACACCAACCTCATTTCTTTGACTTACTCTTCACATTTCAGGTACGTGATATTTTTTCACCCTTTATGTTATGAGTTGTGATATTTTTGATGATCTTGTTGGGAAATGTTAATGTTTTTGTTGAGGTATGTTTTCATTTTTGTATAAATTGTCTATTGTTGTTTGTGTTATTATGAATGTTATTGTTTAGGTATATTGATGTTTTTGTTTAGCTCATATATGTTGTTGTTTATGTTATTGTGAATGTTATTGTTTAGGTATATTGATGTTTTTGGTTAGCTCATATATGTTATTGTTTTTGTTATTGTGAATGTTATTGTTTAGGTATATTGATGATTTTGTTTAGCTCATATATGTTATTGTTAAGGTAAGTTTTTGTTTTTGTTGATAAAGGTAAATGTTTGTGTTATTGTTGATGTTTTTGTTGAGGTATGTTTACGTTTGTGTTATTGTTAATGTTTTGTTGATGTATGTTGTAAATGTTTGTGTTATTATTGATGCTTTTGTTATTTTTAATGTTATA